TTGACAGAGTCTACACATCTTGAATTACATATGGAATAGCACAATATTGTGAATTTACACTAGAAAAAATTTATTTCTTTACTGTGAAAGATTTTAAGAATAAGTGTTTACTAGTGCCAGGACTAAGTGGTAAGCGTTCATTTGAACAATTTAAAATGTATTCGTTAAATGGCTACCATAATACAAGAGGAACCAGAGATTGGATGATTTGTTCAAGGTCACACATCTACAAACTGCTAAAGTCAAAAGTTCAATTCATGTCCCTAGAGCTCCAAAGTTCATACTCTATCCATCACATTCACATCGTTTTCTAGTTAGAAAAGTGGTGGATTTGGGGGATAACAAATGACATAGGACCAAAAGATCAAAACAAATACAGGCAGGCCTTGCTTGGCATAGCAGTGCAGGACAGTGAAAACAACTGTGCAAGCCAAAACCACACAAAACAGTTTTAATAATCAATGAGGGAAGTGTCCTCTGACATTAAAAATGGTCAGTTTTAAAATGTATAAGGAAATGAAAATAATAGCAAAGCTAGTATTTTATTATACTTTAAAACAAAAAGCGTTGAGGATCAAGTGTTTGTTAAACTTAGCAATGAGTAGTTTAAATACTGCTTGCCTTCTCATATAACTTATGAGATATTAAGTGAGCATCCTTTCTTTTCCATTTCTTTCTTTCTTTCCTTTTTTTTTTTTGAGACACAGTCTCACTCTGTTGTCCCTGGCTAGAGTGCCGTGGCGTCATAGCTTATAGCAACCTCAAACTCTTGGGCTCAAGAGATCCTCTTGCCTCAACCTCTGGAATAGTTGGGATTACAAACACCTGGCACAATGTCTAGCTAGTTTTTCTATTTTTAATAGAGATGGGTCTTACTCTTGCTCAGGCTGGTCTTGAACTCTGTAGCTCAAGTGATCTACCTGCTTCAGCCTCCCAGAGTGCTAGGATTACAGGTGTGAGCCTGCACACCTGGCCTTCTAAATGCAAATATAATAATTTTCAGCTTGCCCCAACTCCCATATCCTTACTGCCTAAAGTCCCTTATTATTGAAAGCCTTTAAAGAGGTGGTAACTGTATCTCCTCTGTAACACTCCTCCCCTTTGGTTTTTTAAAAAGCATTTTATTGAGGAATAATCTACATGGATAACATTTTACTGAAGGATAAACACTAATACCCAAATCTTGATTAAATTTATAGCCCTATGATGCCTTAGGTATGAATCATTTTCATCACTTTGCAAACTTCTCTTATGCCCTTTTCCAGTTAGTAATCTGCCCCTACCCCTAGAAATTACCACTTTCTGACTTCTACCTATCACAGTAGATTTGATTTATCTGTTTTTCAACTTAATATAAATGTAATCACACAATACACACTCTGTGTCTCACACTTGTATTTGCCACTCATTTGGGTGGTTTTGAATATAACAATATCTTTTTTATTTCTGAGTAAGCATTTAATTATACGGATATGTCACACATAATTATCCATTCTCTTATTGGCAAATAATTCGGTTGTTTCTGATTTTTGACTATTATGAATAATGCTACTATGGACCTTTTCCTTTTTTGTTTTTATAGTAAAATACCTGTAACATAAAAGTTGCCATTTTAACCATTTTTAAGTGCACAGTTAGTTCAGTGGCATGAAGTACTTTCACATGTTGTGTAACCATTACTGCTATTACCACTGTTTATTTCCAAAATTTTTCATCACCTCAAACAGAAACTCTGTACCTATTAAGAAATTACTTTTCATCCCTTTCTAGCCCCTGATAAACTCAAATCTATTTTCTGTCTCTTGTGAATTTGTCTATTCTAGATATTTCACATAGGTGGAATTTTGCAATATTTGTTCTTTGAGTGTGGCATGTTTTATTTCATAAAATATTTTCAGTGATTGTTCATGTGACAACATGTATCAGAACTTCATTTCTTTTTATGGTTAATATTCTATTGTATATGTATATACCATACTTTATCTGTTTATTATTTGATGGGCATTTGGGTCATTTTCATACTTTCTTTGCATCACATCGTATTTCCTTTTTTGCTGCAGCCGTGCTGAACTACCATATTCTTTGTTTCATGCTTTTTCTTTCCAGTGTTTTTGAATACATGCTGTTACCTTTCCTGACATGCCTTTCCACTGTCATGCCTGACTGGTGAACTCTGACACATTTTTCTGGGCTTGGTTCAGATGTTAACTTCATAATAAATTGTGCCAAAGCGAACTGTTTTTTCTTCACAATCAGACCTTATTCTTAATAGTTCTCTAAACTCATTGCTGTAGCTACTTATTTACATTATCTGTGTCTTTTCCACTAGGATATGATGCTTACCTTAATATACTTAATACTTAGCCCATCATTATAATAATAAAGTTTATCTTTTATCACCTTCTGAATCCTAGGCCTAGGGTAGCTTCATTTTATTCATTGTCTTTGACTATCAGGTAGAACTGCAGCGTAGGTACGGTATTGTTAAAGCATGTACTTATAAATGGTAAGTTTCCTTATCATTTTACAGATACGGAAACTGATACTTAGAACGATTTTTATGTAATCTTATTTAAGATTACATACTGTATCAGTACATAAGGTTTATTTGTCTTCACCTGGCTCTAAATTCATTATAGTAAGCCACCTTTTCCTAAAATATACTTAATAAATGCTTGATGCACTAATAAACAGTGCTGTTGGCTCCTGCCTGTTGTCATTCCAGACCACACATTCTGCATTCTGAGTGTACTTCTGTTTTCTTTCAGCAAACATGTATTAGCACTGCTAAGGACATGAAGCTGTTCCTTTCCCAGCAGCAAGTGTCCTTGTTCCTTTTCCCTCCCTGTGATTGGTTGAACAATTCTTCTCTCTTTCCTGCAGATAGATACCATAGTGAGTGCCTATTTTGAAAGAGGCATCCTATCCTCATTCTGTAACAGATGGCTCAGGGAGGGAAATGTCCTTTCTTTTGCCATTGAGTCTCACTTACTTACATTTTCCTATTAATAATCCTCTATGGATCCAACTGCAATTAGCGTGATAACCCAAATTATTGATTGTTAAGTAGTCCCATTGATTCAGATCGCAATTTCAGTGTCTTTTTTTTTTTTTTTTTTTTGAGACAGAGTTTCATTGTGTTGCCCTCGGTAGAGTGCTATGGCATTATAGCTCACGGCAACCTCAAACTCTTAGGCTTAAGTGATTCTCTTACCTCAGTCTCCCAAGTAGCTGGGACTACTGGTGCCCCACCATAGTGCCTGGCTATTTTTTGTTGTTGCAGTTGTCATTGTTGTTTTAGCTGGCTTGGGTCAGGTTTGAACCTGCCAGCCTCGGTTTTCAGTGGGTTTAGCTTATGATAGAATAGGAAGCATTGAACCATAGCTCTGTTTTATATACTTATTTGTCTGCAGATATTGCTGACATAATTTTTTTGTATGAGAATAAAGATTGAATCTTTATTTTTGTTCCTCTTTGTAAAGAATCAAATACATGTTGACTGTATTAATATTTGAACTATTTTATATTTACATATAATTTTATATTTTAAAATCTGATCATTTTAAGCTGGTGCCTCTTTTCAGTTTTCACATAATTGGTACTTTAAATTTTATCATTTTTATTTTGTGTTTAATTAGGCACAGTTCTTTTTAACTTACTATTAAATCTTTTAAAGCATTTATTAATTTACACACTGTGTAAGTATATTTTAAGAGCCTAGGGGAAGAAGAAAAACAGATACTTAAAATCTAGTTTGGGAAATGACATACTAAAAAGGTAAAATTCTACCAAACAATAAATAAAAGACCATAAGCCAGGGAAACAAGAGCTGCAATCAGATGCTCTTGTCAAATGAAAAGCTTTAGCAGAGACTTGAGTGCTAAAGTTCAGGAACCGAGGCAGTTTGGGTTAGGTAGGGCATACATTCTCTGGTGATAATTAGTTCTTGGTGGTGGTGGGGGTACTAAGGTTTGTAGCCCTAGAAAGGGCCACAATACACATACACGTACATATACACAATACACATACACAGGGCCACAGGTGTATCTGTGTTGTTAAAATTTCGTGGGGCTGAGGGTGGCAGTCTAAAAACACTCCTGGGGTGGGGAATGATAGTAATAAAAGAAAGGTTGAGAAACACTAGTTTAAAGTAGTTAGGGAAGGGTTTTTGTTTTTGTTTTTGTTTTTGAGACAGAGCCTCAAGCTGCCCCTTTGGGTAGAGTGCCAGGGGCATCAAAGCTCACAGCAACCTCCAACTCCTGGGCTCAAGCGAGTCTCCTGCCTCCGCCTCCCAAGTAGCTGGGACCACAGGCGCCCGCCACAATGCCCGGCTATTTTTTGGTTGCAGCCGTCATTGTTGTTTGGTGGGCCCAGGCTGGATTCGAACCCACCACCTTAGGTGTATGTGGCTGGCGCCTTAGCCACTTGAGCCACAGGCGCCGAGCCTTAAGGGAAGGGTTTTAAGCAAGAAATAGAATGGATTAGGCATTGAAGGATAGATAGGCAAATTTTAAGTAAGCAAAAACTGAGGATATTTCTTTTCACTTTCCAATATTTCTTTTTTTTTAAATTTTGCTTTTATTTAATTTATTATTATTATTTTTTTTTTATGGAGACAGAGACTCACGTTGTGTCCTTCAGTAGAATACAATGGAATCACAGCTCACAGCAACCTCCGCCAACCTCTGGATCCCTGGGTCTAAAGTGATTCTCTAGCCTCAGCTTCCAAAGTAGCTGGGACTACAGGTGCCTGCCAGAACGCCCGGCAATTTTTGGTAGAGACGGGGTCTCACTCTGGCTCTCTGGCTCATGCTGGTCTCGAATCTGAGCACAGGTAATCCACCTGCCTTGGCCTCCCACAGCACTGGGACAACAGGCGTGAGCCACCATGCCCGGCCCTAATATTTCTTTTTTAAAAAAAATTCCAATTAATATGAGGGTACTACAAAATTAGGTTACATTGTTTGCATTTGTAAGTTAAAGTCTAAGTTTTAGTTCACACAAACATGGAACACTTCATGAATTTGTGTGTCATCCTTACGCAGGGGCCATGCTAATCTTCTCTGTTATTGTTCTAATTTACCCGCTGCCAAAGTGAGCACAGCTGAGGATATTTTATTGGTAGGAACAGGAGGGAGGCAAATTCAAGGTGGTTTTTGTGAAAAACATACTTTTTTAAATAAATTGAGAGATTGACTGCATAACATGTCTCACATGCTGCATCAGAACATCTGGTTAATATCTTGTAGAGTGAGGAGTAGGAAAATAAAACTTAAACATTTCTTTTTAAATATGTTCGAGTTCAAAGTGTGGTAGATTATGTTTTGTCTTTCTGTGTTAATTCTTACCAATTAGTTTTTTGATTAGAGCTACAGTACCAGTTCACTTCTTCATGCAGTCGTATTAGCAGTACTGTTTAGCAGACTCTTGGTTAGGACTTAGGGCTCTCACACTGTCATTACTCATTGAATTACAGAATCAAAGAATTTTAGAACTGTGGAAGACTGTAGAGATTGCTTAAACACCTCCGTTTAGATATAAATGAGATTAACCTGCATGCAGGAAAGATCCATTAGTATTAGTGGTATAACTGGTCTTACTACCTGGGTCTCCTGACTCCTAGTTCATTGCCTTGCTCACAGTATCACTCTTTCTAAACTGTATGAGGCTTGGTCTGGAAGCAGAAATCTTAAATTTTAAGACCTTACCAGATTGTCACTTCTTGCTCCATTTTCCTAGACTGAAACAAACATAGGACACTGCTTTATTTATTTATTTATTTATTTATTTTTTTGAGACAGAGTCTCAAGCTGCCACCTTGGATAGAGTGCTGTAGTATCACAGCTCACAGCAACCTCAAACTCTTGGGCTCAAGTGATTCTCTTGCCTCAGCCTCCCAAGTAGCTGAGACTACAGCCATCCACCACAGTGTCCAGCTATTTTTTTTGTTGCAGTTGTCTTGGTTGTTTTAACTGGCCCTGGGCACTATTTTAGTAGACAGTTCATTCATCTGTCAGAGATGAATTGAGTGACTAGTGTTTTTTGTTGTTGTTGTTGTTGTTGCTGTTGTTTTGAGACAGAGTCTCAAACTTTGGCCCTGGGTAGAGTGCTGTGGTGTCATAGCTCACAGCAACCTCCAACTCAAGCTCAAGCCATCCTCTTGCCTCCATTTTTTCTATTTTCAGTAGAGACAGGGTCTCACTTTTGCTCAGTCTGGTCTTGAACTTGTGAGCTCAAGCAATCCACCCGCCTCGGCCTCCCAGAGTGCTAGGATTATAGGCGTGAGCTAATGTTCGGTTTTTTTTTGTTGTTGTTGTTGTTTTTTTGAGACAGGAGCCTCAAGCTGTCCCCCTGGGTAGAGTGCCCTGGCATCTCAGCTCACAGCAACCTCCCACTCCTGGGCTCAAGCGAGTCTTCTGCCTCCGCCTCCCAAGTAGCTGGGACCACAGGCACCCACCACAACGCCCAGCTATTTTTTGGTTGCAGCAGTCATTGTTGTTTAGCGGGCCCAGGCTGGATTCGAACCCGCCACCTTGGGTGTACGTGGCTGGCACCTTAGCCACTTGAGCCACAGGCGCCAAGCCATGTTCGTTTTTTAATACTGATAATTCTGTAATCTAACTTTTTACTTGCTATATTGTTTTATCTGAGACCTTGTTTTGTTAAAAATTTTACTATAATTCTGGAAGAAAACTGTATTGATTGTATCATTTGGTTCCTGGTGTCTGTTCTTAATTATTTCTGTGTTTGCCTTGCAGAGCTCTGAGGAACAAGAGTGCAGTGATGAAGCTTCTCAGGAAGATGAGGGGTTTATGGGCATGTCTCCTCTCTTACAAGCCCATCATGCTATGGAAAGAATGGAGGAGTTTGTCTGTAAGGTAAGATTGCAATTTCTTACCATGTTTGTGCTATATTATTTAACCCTTCCTAAACAGAAACCTTTAAAGAGAGTGGGAGTACCTTAGCCTTTGGTTGGCTATGGGGAAAATATGTGGCAAAGTAGGACGGAGGCAGTCTCATGACTTTAACCTGTTCAAGACATAAGACATTTGTTTGCTTGTAATAGCTATAGTAAAATTCTAATCAAACTGGAATATCGAATTGGGAAACAAACCTTCTACTGATACAGGTTAACAGGGTAAATGTCATACTGATAGTTTTGACAGGACAGGATGAAACAAAATTGGACGTGATTGGTGCCTGACCAATCTTGAAGACAATAGTAGAACCTCTGTAAGTTGACCACCCAAGGGACTGTAACAAACTGGTCAATACATGGAGGTGGTCAAAATAAGAAACTAGGCCTACTGTACTAACATGTACATGTCTGGTCTGTGAAAATTAGATCAACTTGAGGTGGTCAGTGTAGGGAGGTGGTTAATTATGGAGGTTCTACTATATTAAAATACCATCCCCAATACCATCCCTTGAATCTGTTCTGTTGTTTGACTGCAATGGCAAACGATCTATTCTTCCTAGGGATTCTGTGGGTAATAAAACTACTCTTGAGATAAAAATTTGCCAGTTTTCCTGCACATCTGCTATTTTCAGTACAGCTGGTATGTTTTCTATCTCTAAGATTTTTCTTCCAATTTGTTGTCTGATTCCCTAGGATCTATTATGGAATTTTTTCCCCCTCAAATGGTAACTAGAATTGAGTTTGTTTGCTTAGAGAAATTTGAGACACTGATAGGTAATCAGATTAATAAGGGTCCTGACAGATATGATCATAGCTAACATAAGTCAGTCAGTGTGTATGTGTATATAAATTCATTTATTAAACATTTCTGGAGAATTCTTGATTATTTAGAGAGAAATTTTTGTGACATTTAGCTTTTCATGGGATTTATGAAACCAAAACATTTTATGCACATGGTCTTAGATCCCAAAAGTTAAATTTGGGTTTTCTTAGATTCATAGTGATGCTGGAAATAATTGGGGTCAGCTAACTTAGAATACTGTACTTTAGATTGAGGGATGAGAAGAGAACATTCTGATGTGAACATAGATATCTCGACATTCCTTCCAAGACCAAGGGCCCAGTAGGGCTGGGGGCGGTGCATAAAACATTTGTGGGTCTGGAGTCCTAGAAATTTTAATCAGTGTTTAAAAATTGGTGAAGAAAAAGCCAAGCAAACAATAGATCCATTCTAATGGTTGCTATTGCAGAAGAATTAGTACAGAGGGATACAAATGATAGATTTTGATTTTCAATAAGCAAATTTGTTGTGAAGAAATTCCTCAAGGTGGAAAATTTAATGTCTGGTTCATTAGGGAATTTTAATAATTTGTAGATCGGGGGTACTGTATCTGACTTAAGTGCCTGTTTGTCTTCCCTTTCTGAACTCAGAGCTAATTTAACAGGTAATGGCAGAATAAATAAGGAGAGGCATTTGTTTGCTGCAAAGTATGATTTACTGAAGAAAAAATGAATGTGGCAAATATCCCTCAGCAGTTTGCTGGAAGAGAATTCTGGAAGAAGCATCCTGTTACACGGTGTTCTCTAGTGCGGCTCTATTGCCTGCAGCAGTGCAACTGAGTGCACTTGAAAACCATCCATGTCTAGTGACATAAGAGTTCTGTTTCTTGGATTAGAAGCATGTAAACAGACAGTTTAAAATGAGGTGTATTGTGACCTTGCTGGTGTACCTTCCTTTTTGGAAAAGATTTTCTTATAGGAATAAGGGAAATAAGATAAGTCTTTAGAGTTTCCAAGTGTGGTCTTGGTCTCTCTTTTTTCTCAGACTTTAGTTTTTGCTATTTTATCAGCATAACCAGGCCATATGGGAATAGAAAGTGTGCCCAGGTAGGTTGTTTTTTTTTTTTTTGAGACGGTATCTCAAGTTGTTGCCCTTGATAGAGAGCCGTGGCGTCACAGCTCTCAGCAACCTCAAACTCTTGGGCTTAAGCAATTCTCTTGCCCAGCCTCCCAAATAGCTGGGACTACAGGCACCCACCACAATGCCTGGCTATTTTTTTGTTGCAGTTGTCATTGTTCTTTAGCTGCCCCAAGCTGGGTTCGAACCTGCCAGCCTCAGTGCATGTGCCTGGCACCGTAACCACTGTGCTATGGGCGCCAAGCCGCCCAGGTAGTTTATTCAAAAATATTATTTTTGTGCATTTTGTGATTTAACATAAACCCAGTGGATCATTGCTAGGATGTTTGATGTAGATTGTGTCTTTGTCAATCTTATAAATAAATACATTTGGCTAAGTTGTGGTCCTATTCTTTTATTCCAGGAAGTAGAGGATGTCTATTTGTATTGGCATTTAGCTGACTGTATGTGGCTTCAAGTTGAGAGTAAAGGTGCGATGTCTTTTGAATGCATCACTAATTGCAGTATAATCAGGACAGTATAGCTCCATGGCTCAATATTTAGATCACTAGAATGTGTGTTTAAAAACAATGGGAAAAATCACTCTGATGTTATATGTGTACATAACTGGTAAGAAACCCAGCAGCATATTCTTTTCTGAATGTATTTATCTTTGTTCGTTCTTCACAAGGTTTCTGTTTCTAGTCCTCATCTTAAACATTGTTATTGTTATTAAATTTTAAGACTTTTTAATTTTGTGAAGGCAAAAAGTAGAAACCAAATAAACACATGTATATGTATAGAGAAAATAAAAAAAAAAGAAGAAACCCAGCATATTCTTTCTGAATATAAAAGGGAGCATCTGAATAGTTGTGTGTGGTAACACAATAGCACTTTTGGTGCACTCACAGGGGTATTGTTTTTACATGGTGAACTGCCTTGAAGATGTAAAGATTGTTTTCTGTTTTCCTGTCCTTCTTAGAAAACAAAGTTTTCTGAAATTGAAACACAGTAGCAACATTTTATAAAGTTAATCTCAATGATGATCTTCCCAAATTCAAATTAGATGCAGAAAATTTGGTATCTTGGTCTCTTTCTATCCATAAAATCCTATGAAAGATCTCATATAGCTACTTTAATAAGTGGTACTGCTATTAGTAGAAGACATTACAAATCTAGATCAGTCTTTTGGCATTATTTCATTTTATTGTATGTTAGGAACAAGCATGGAATGACTAGATTAGCAGCAGTAACTGCAGGAGCCCAAGTATTGAGTTGGAAGGGGGTGG